ATAAGTTAAATATTTGTAGTTTTGAGACCTTAGACAACATCATATTTTCAATATTCGCAAGCCTAATTGCGGGATAGACAGAATTTGATTTTAATCAATTTTCAGTAGCCAGTAATTCCATCCTTTGATCTTTAATCATGAATAACTTATAGTCATGCACTAATTTGTAGCAATTTTAAAAATGTCATACTCTCTCCGTTTCAAAATAAAAGGCATTTTTGAAGGAGTTGGATGTTAAAAAATGTAAGATATTTTTAGTTTTTCGAGATGTAATCATTACTTTTTTTTTTTTCAAAAGTGCTCATATTAATAGTGACTTTATATTTATTGTAGGATATTTAATAGGTATAAATATAAAAAGATAATGTTAGTTTGAAAGTAGGTAACTACTTTATTGAGGGGTGAGATTTAATTAAAAATATTTTATATTTTTAAACAGAGAGATTATATATGAAATCAATTCAGGTAGTTGGAAAATTTACAATTTCAGTATTTAACACTCAAACTAGGAAAATTTACAAGTCACACTTTGAGTATTTGACACTCACACTAGAAAAATTTACAAGTGCATGTTCAAGTATTTAACATTCAATGCTTGAAAGATGACCTCCACTCCTTATCATGACCTCTATCATGATGATATCCATAGAGAGAGTGACAAGCTTTTCAAATTGTTAAATCTAGAATCTCGTTTGGCAGGTGAGAAATTTGAATCCCGTCAGGATCAAGCATCATAAGATTTTTCAGTCAGCCAATCTTTGAAGAAAGTTCAACGAAAAGCTCACAATCTTTTATGAAATTTTGTGTGCTCTCCTAACTTTAAAAAAAATTAAAGATTATTTTATTCTTAAAGTATACATAAAAAGTCACAAATAATCTTAAATTTAATTATAAGTTAATTATATTTATTACAACAACAACAACAACAAGCCTTTATCCCACTAGGTGGGGTCGGCTACATGGATTGCAAGACGCCATTGTACTCTATCATTTATCAAACTTTTAGGAATATTATTAATTAAGAGATCTACACACCAATAATGGCAACAAATATTTCAATCAATCCTTGGGATCATTCCTTAGTAACCATGGCATTATCCACCAAAGTACTTGTGTTCATACCCCAACAAAATGGCATAGAAGAGAGAAAAAATAGACATATGTTAAAGGCTTCCCGAGCCCTCATGTTCACTTGTCATGTTCCAAAATACTATTGGTGTGTCGCAATTCCCACTACAACATATCTCATAAATAGAATGCCAAGCCAGGTTTCGTCCTTTGAATCACCACTTAAAAAATTACAAAGCGTACACCCTACAGCTCATGTTAAGACCAATCTTTTGCTACATATTTTGGATGTGCATTATGTGTATGTTGATGATATAATTCTCATAAGAGATCATGTTGAGGAAATAGCAAGAATGAAAGCTACTCTTGGAAAAGAATTTGAAGTCAAGGGATCTTGAAAACTTGCAATACTTCCTTAGGATGGAAGTTGCAAGATCAAAACGAGGTATCTATGTATCTCAAAGAAAGTATATACTTGATCTTTTAAAAGAGGCAAGCATGTTAGATTGTAGATTTAAGGAAACTCCTATTATAGTCTCCAAAAGAAGAAAACGAAGTCTAAGAAGAATTGTGAGGAAGGGTTAGAAGAAGATGAAGATAACTTCAATGATGAAACCGAAGAAGTGGAAAACAAGAGGCTGCCGATAAAGAAAGATACCAGAGACAATAACAACAACAACAACAACAACAAGCCTTTATCCCATTAGGTGGGGTCGGCTACATGGATTGCAAGATGCCATTGTGCTCTATCATTTATCAAACTTTTAGAAATATTATTAATTAAGAGATCGCGTTCAACAACTTCCAAAAGTGTTCTCTTAGGCCTTCTTCTACCTCTCTTAATCGGACTCAAAGTTATATGTTCCACTCTTCTCACTGGTGCCTCCCTTGGTCTTCTTTGTACATGCCCAAACCATCTCAACCGATTTTCTACCATTTTTTCCTCAATAGGTGCCACCCTCACTTTTTCACGTACGTGCTCATTTCGAATTTTATCTTTACGTGTATGTCTGCACATTCATCGTAACATTCTCATCTCTGCTACTCCAACTTTATGCTTTTGCTGTCCCGTTAGAGCCCAGCATTCACTACTATATAACATTGCCGGTCTGATAGCAGTGCGATAAAACTTTCCTTTAAGTTTATTAGGCATCTTACGGTCACAAATATTTTCTTTGTCATTATTTTAATATTAAAAATATTTAATGTTCATTAATTATTAATATATCTCATTATTTTTTAAATATTTTTTATCATGTTAAGGGTCATTTTTATCCCTTAACTTCTATTTGAATGATTATTTTGCCCTTTAACTCAAATATTTTATTAAAAAATATAATATGGGGCTCATAAATGATGAGAAAACGGCAAGATGATAAAAAAATATTTAAAGTTGAGAGATAGATTGACTCATAATTAAATTTAGGATCATTTATAATCTTTTATGTATAGTTTAGAGGAGAAAAAAAAGACTTTTAACCCATTAGAAAAATGAGCTTGTAAGATCATCTATGCTAGTGCATGACAAATCAAGAGTGTTGAGTTGAGGCAGACGGTCAAAAAATGATAATGATATTTCCATCAAATTGAGGTTGTTCCCCAACAATAAACATTTCAGTTCAAAAAATTTACACAAGGCGAAAGATTAATAATTAAAGTCCCATCAAAATTAAGCTTCCCAATGTTATACCTTGTCCATAAATTATTAACTTCCTCTAAAAATTATAAGGTGGAGGGGTTAAAATGTTTTTAAAATGAACACTCATTGTCTTTATTTTTTAAAAGGAATAATATCAACCTCAAAGTATGAAAAATGAAACAACGTCATTTTTTTTAATGTCTGACCAACATTTGACTAACGATTGATTAAAAGAAGTAGAAAACTTTGATGTTGCATTCTAATTTTCTTAATTGTTGGATTCAATTTTAAATCTTGTTTTTCTTTTCACCTTCTTTCTTAAGGTCTATTTGATTCAAAAGGAGGAGAGAGGAGGGGGGGAGGGGAACTCCCCCCTAATTTGGGGGGAGGTTTTGGAGGACAGAAGAAAAAATTTTAAAAATTTTCACTTCCTTCTCTTACCTCCAACTAAACACACCTTTAGTGGCTCACGCCTCTCTTTCCTTCCATACCCTCCCACAACCCAAAGAATCTCTGATGACAACAAGCAGACTTATCAAAGTAGCGACGGCGATTTGGCTTAGGAGATATGAGGGATTTCTTTTGATTCGATTTGTCCCTAGCCTTCCAACTCCAACTTTGAACAGTCAAAGCCATCCTCTAAATGAGCAACAGATCTCTAAAATCCTTCACGAAGGATGGTCAATATGAATGAGGAAAATCAAAATCAAGCAAAGAAAGAATACATAGTTCTAATATGGCTCAAGGAAGAAGTAGTATGTGTTAATTTGGGAACTACATCATTATTATTCGAAAACTAATGAGATAAAGGCTCCATCGTCACTGCTTGTAATTTTCCAAAAAATAAAAAAAATTAGATCAAAAAAATTTCATCGACAAATTACTGTAATTTTCCAGTAAAGCAAAGCGTTTCAGAGTGGGTAGAGGGGAAAAAAAAAAAAAAACGCTCGCACCCAAACGAGACTGCCGATACCTGTAACTTGCAACCTTCAATGAGGAAAGAAATCGGAATGATTCCGAGTGGGTAGTGGAGGAGGAGGAGGAGGAGCGGCGATGGTGACAACCTAGAAGGCTAGAACGACGAGTGAGAGCTTTCACTCGGTCTACAACTTTAGGCTAACTAGTTGCTGTTGGAAAGGGATGAAGAAGATGAAGAAGAAGACAAGTGAGGGCATAGTGGACGAGAAGGTGGGGCAAGTGGAGGAGGAAGAGGAGGAGGAGCGACAGCGATCCAGAGTGGGCAGAGAAGGAGGAGGGGCGACGGCAAAGGGGATGAAGAAGACGACGAAGATGTCCAATAACGTAGGAGAAAGAGGAAGGAGGGCAAGTGGAGGAGAGAAGGGAAGATGGGAAGTTATATGTCAGAATTTTTGGTTAAAAAGTAACATTTAATGGTGAAAAGTCTGTACAGATTAATAAAATAAAATTGTTTTCTTGCTAAAAGTTTTTGAGGTAATATTATTTCTTTGCAAAAGCAAACGTACTGGGTGTTCATTTAAAAAAAATTTTGAGATATTTTTTTAATGTAAAATTATATGATAATTGATAATTGATATTTATATGCAACTTTCGAAAGATAATTAACGCGTGAATAGAACTTGCGAGTTGCATTCTGATTCTCTAGTTACACCATCTTTGAAACATACTCCATAATAATTTGGGGAAATGAAAGGTGGAAGAGGGTCCTACTAATTATAACACAATTATAAGAAAAAGGATGAAGAGAAAATATATCAAAAGTTGCTTTAGACATTTAAAATTCTTTAATTGCATCAATATTATCAGAAACTAGGCTGAATATTAAACCAAAAATATCATTGATTCACAATTTACATGATTTAATCAGGTTAAACTAATAATTAAATTATATGTATATAATAAAATAAATATAAAATTGTTACTTGACTTAAAAATAAAATTAAATATTTTAAATTTACTATGATTTAATTAGTTACATGATATAATATAACATTAAATAATTAAAAAATGAGTCATTTTCTAAAAAAATAAAAAGAAGTGGGTCAGTTTTTGAGCTGTTCAATTTTTAAGAATCAAATTCAATTCTTGATCCCAAGCGATCTAATTGAATCCAACTCTGTAAATGGTTTTTTGTCCTAACTGAATTGTTAACAGTTTCAATTAACAATTCAACTAGTCTGACAATCTAGTTTGATTTAGTTTTTAAATCATTGAATTGTGTTGAGGTATTAAAAAAAAAAGAAATTGAGACATTTTTGCCACACTGTTCAGGAGAAATCAATATACATCTACATTTTAAAACTCCATAACAACAAAAAACAAATCAATAAATTTATTAAAACAATGATACTCCCTACCCATATGATACAAGTTGCCAATCAATCAGCCTTTAAAAATGGGCACGCACAAGATACCCAAATGCCTAGCCCCAATGTTTCGAAATCACTCAGTTACATGCCTGACAACCAACGCTATTTTGTTCAAAAGACAACAATAGAAACCTTGCTAGTAAGGCTGACGACGATTTGTCTCGCGAGTTCTTTCAGACTTCATTATCAACATGCTCGAAATCCATAATCGATTCACCTGAGGTGAATCATCAGACAGCCAGCAACAAAGGCGGTCGTATTCCCCGCTTGTCCATCCAAAAAAGTCTTGGTCACAACCAGGTCCACCGTGAATTCTTGACGTGGGCTACACACTCCTTACAACACTTGTATGGCCACCCCATTATATATAATTCACATGGAAGTTGCCCAAAACACCAGTATTAGTGCCACCAATCGCCCATTGTTGTTGAGCTTCTCTAGAGTAGTGACAGTCAACAAAATAGTCAACCTAACAAGAGAAAGAACAATATCAGTTTGTGGATTTGTGAGTACAGAATATGCATGGTGCTAGTCCAGTTCGCTAAAACATATTCCATTAGAGAGGGAAGAACTCACATTATCCAAGCTCCAACCTTTGAAGAGCATCTGTGAAGTTTACTTCATTTCTAGCATCTTTCCGATCCCAGATGCTATAAGGAATCAGAGTAGAATAAAATATTAGAATCAACCTAAACAGGCAACAAAATAAAACTTAGAAGAGAAAAGGAGTCAGGATACGAATGTGAAAGTTCTCAAAATCCATATTAAGTGCAATAGAATATAATTGCTTCTGCAGACAGTGCTGCTGGAAGTACTATCATTCTCCGGAACCGGTTTCTGCTGAGCACCGTGATGCTCATCATCCAGATTATCTGGACCATTCAAATTTTTAATCTAGATGATCCATATTTTTTCAATTTCAATTTCAATTTTATATTTTATAAAAATAAAATTTATAATTTTTTTTGATAAATATATTCATCATCAATCTGGACAGTATTGATTCAATCTGAAATTCAGAGTAATTCAATTTAATATTATAATTTTCATAAATTGAATATCTAAATGTACTCTAGACAAGACAGATTTAATATTAAATTTTTTAATAATTTTTTATTTTATTAATTTTTTAATATTTTTTATTTTAATAAATATAAAATAAAAATAAAAATAAAAACCTTAAATCTAGACCTTACAAATAAAAATTTAATATTGAATTTAGATTATCTAGAATACATTTAGATAGTTAATTTATGAAAATTATAATATTAAATTGAATCACTCAAATTAAATCAGTACTGTTCAGATTGATGATGAATATATTTATAAAAAATTATAAATTTTATTTTTGTAAAATATAAAATTAAAATTAAAATTAAAAAAATCTGGACTATTCAAATTAAAATCTAGATAGTACCGAAACCAGTTCCATCATTCTCCACACACAATATGAGTTCACATGATAGTTATTTTAGGCTTTTAGCAGTGTGAATTGCCCTTGGCAACTGTTAACAAAACTGAATGCAAGATAAAGGCACAAAGCACATCGTCATTTACACCACCAAAGTGCTGAGAGGACTATATAACTATCAAGCAAACAAATTTAAGGAGATAACATACCTCAAGGTTTCAATATGCGTTAAACACCAAAGCTTCAGGCAACTTTCACCAAAAAAACCCGCCTTTGAGATTGAAGTTCCCACATTAATAACCTGCATTTTAGGTAACAATTTGTATGAATAATGTACTGGAGTCCAAACTCAAGTATAGAATAACTCAACCAAAGATAATGATTTTTCAAAATCTAAAGCTCTAAATATGTATGCATTGCGTAATGATATATACATCTTATATTTATCAATTTGAAAGCTAATTATAACTAGTGAAACTAAAAAACAATGGCACATCTGCATTGGAATCCCATACTTACTGATTCCAGATGATCTTCATCATCGATATCTCCAGCAATGTCAAATGTGCAAATCAACCCATCTACCGAAGAAGAAACTATTATAGGTATTATCAATCATATTTAATAAGTAAGCCATATTTTTGAGAAAAAAACCAGTTTAATATTTCTAAATTCCCTCAATTCTAAAAATTAATAAAGAAAATTATTAATATAAGAATGATTACTAAAACTTAATATTTTTATAATTAATAAATTTTTTTATACATTCTCTAGAAGTTCATTTTTTAAAATAAAAATAAAAATAGTTTTATATTTTAAAATTGTTCAAATGGATCCTTAATAAAGCACATAAATTGAAGTTCAAAAAAAAAAAAATTAATTAATCTACTATATAAGAAATATTGAATAAGAATCATTCCCTCATTGTCTACCAATGAAAATTATGAAAATGATAGATGCCCAACTATCCCATGTCCTATTCTTCAAGCTCAGTCAATAACTGTCGATATCAAGCCTGGCAGCCTTCATCTAGAACTTTTAGTGCTTCCCAACACGTGGATGAAACTTTTTAAAAATATGTAATAATTTAATTAAAAGAGATTTATTATTTATCTTTAATATCTTGAGAGAGATCATTCTTAATGTTGCTGAAATTAAACTTATCCCTTATACTTACCAAAAAAAAAAAATTAAACTATGAAACAGATTGCCTAAATCACCTAGCCACAGGGCCATGTTTAATGTAAGGTTATTAAGGCTACCAATCTCCTAAAGTCTCAAATAATGTTTACTTATTCTCTATATAACAGGACATTAATTTTCCTGGTAAATATTAATGTTAATTAGATATTTTTATTAGAAATTTATTTTTTGCTAATAAAACCTGTTATTACTTTTTTCATTAAACCATGTTAATTACATCTTTCTATTAAAAATTCATTACACAACATGTCACCACACCTATCACTCCCATTTTTTGATATCAATTAATCATTATCTAATTAGATAAGTAACATTCATATATTGTCAGTCTGCCACAATATAAAAGGGGAGCATCTTGTCACAATCTAGCAATTCTCATTTCTCCTTCTCTCTCAAACGAATCGTTTTCTGTCATTGCCGTCATTTCATATTGAAAAAAATTTTGCTATGTTGATGTTGCTTGAATATGGCGCAATGTGGCTTTGTTAATTTACTTCTCGTCACTACCGATTCCAAATACTTTGATTTTCTTATTGGAGTTTTTTACTTTCTATCTAATTGGGGGGAGCAAAAAAAACTCCAATTTTAGATGAGGTAATACTTTTGACTATATCGATTCAATTTTAGTTTTGACTTTACAATACTAGTAATAGTTGTCATTGCTGGAAGAAATTTTTAAAAATTAAAATTTTTTAAATCTTATTTAAGATAAACCATATTATAAAATAAATTAATAATGTATTTAAATTAATAAAGATTTGGATTAGGATATATAAAAATCATAGATTTAATGACATACAAATCCATTTCAAATTATAATATCTTTATAATTTCAAATTCATATCAATCATTTGAAATTCTAATTATTTCAAATGTCTCGTTCTTTTTCATCTTTTTTTAGTATTTGTACATCTATAACTCTCATATTTTTTTCATTTTTTGTCAGTTAAAAAATATAAATAAACTTATTATTTTGAATCTCAATTCATCTCTTTCTTTCATTTGAAGTTTTTTAAACTACTCAAATAAATAATTTTAAATACATGAATGTTAAATGTAAGAGTTTGCCACATCTAAATCCATTAATCCAAATGCAACTTAAATGAATTAAATATATTATCTATTAAAACTGAAATGTTAGAATTACTTGATTACAAAAATTTAATCTGATTACCCTTGAATTGTGAGTACCACATGCATCAAGAAAAAAAGTTTTAGGACCAAGGAGAGATGAGTGAGAAAAAGAGAGAGCGTCTAGAGATCGACGAAGGCAACAGTGGTGAGGGAAAGGGTGGTGATCCTGGAGGTAATTGATGAAGGAAGGAACAACTTTATTTTTTCCAGCACGAACAATGATAGATATCGTCAGAGTGGGAAGGAGGATAAGGTGGATGAAGGCTTGAATTCTAGGAAAAAGATATCCTATAAGGATTCTTTGCTGAGTTTGAATTCTGCAGGATTTCTTTCTCCCAATGATGAATCCGATGATATTATACATGGCTGGAAGGGCTACCTTGAAGTTAAGGGCACAGGAGGCTATTAAGAGGGCAAAAGGGAAAATGAGTGAGGAAGAATCAGAGTAGGAAGACTTGTCTGAAGATTAGAGGTCCATGAAAATCCTAGAGTTGAAGATCCTTCAATAAGCATATCTTGCCTAGTGCAAGCCCTGGTTAAATTCCCTTATTGTGAAATTATTGGGACGTAATATCCCATTAAGGTTTTGGAGAATTAGGTTAATAAGAATGTGGCAAATTAAGGATCCTATGTGAATTACACTACTAGGCAATGGATAGTTTATTGTCTCCTTTTCTAACAAGGATGATATTGACCATGCTTATCAAGAGCAACCATAGATAATAGATGATCACTATCCTCTTATGAAAAAATGGAGACCTAATTTCAATCCTTGGAAAGCATAAATACAATGAAGGATAGCAGCTTGGATTTGTGTCCTGGATTTTCCTGTTGAATTATATAATATAGAATTTTTGAGGATGATAGGGGATAAAGTTGGTACTATTCTAAAAGTTGATTGATATACTTTCATATATGATAAGGGTGCCTTTGCTAGAATATGTGTTGAACTTGACTTAAGCAAACCCCTTATGCCCGTCTTCACTGTGTATCGGGAAGAATATAAAATTGCGTTCGAAGGTCTTCATCTCATTTGCTTTCATTGTGGCCAGTTTGGGCATCATTTGAATGCTTGTCTTGATCGAGTTCAGACCTATGAACAAGAAAAAGAGATGAATGACAATTTCACTAAAGAGAAACAACAAACAGATATGTCTATTGGAAATATACAATCAGGGGATGACCAAAAGGTGGAGGTGATCATGTTGAAAAAACAAGGAGAGATTGACGACACTTAAGAAACGGGCCAGAACGACGAAGGCACACCAGAGATGGTTTTTAGCAGTAAATACGGACTTGATATGATTGTTGAGCAAGATTTTCATAAGAAGATGCCAAAATCAAAGCTTAAGGGAGCTGCAACTGGTTCGAATAAGGGAAAGGAGAATTGGGATTTGGTGAGTAGGGAAGTAAAGCTAATAACAATTCCACTATTATGCATGGAAAGAAATATGAGGTGCAGCGTAGATTTGGCAGGGAAGTTGTAAACTATAAATCAAAGTGGACCTCAGTGGGAGGAAAGAGTAAAGCTACATTGAAAGTTAAAGGAAAAAAGAAAGAAAATGTAGCACCAAGCATAGGTTGAAATGGGCTAGATTTTATTAGCCCAAACTCATTTGATGCATTTACTAATTACAATAAGTGAATGTCTGGTAGGGATAATCCTCAAATAGATAATGGGCCAATTTCTTTAAAGTTGAAGGCTGATCAACATGTGAATGAAGCGGGCCAGGATGCTAGTAGGTGCCATGTCGTGAATCAGCTACCTATTAATGTTGAGTTATTTCCTTAAGAGCTGGATGCCGTGTCTAAAATAGACATCACTTTTTGTGAAGGTACTGATACGGGCTTATAAGCCCACTCTTTTTAATATGTTTTTATGAATTTTATATGGAATTCTAGAGGCATTGGATCACGTTCTTTTCTATGCCTTATTAAAGAATTGAAGTGTAAATATAAGGTGGAGGTTTTGGCAATAGTGGAAACTCGAGCTAGTAGTTCTAATGCTGTTAATATTGCTAAGTCTCTGGGTTTTAATAATTTTCATATTGTAAATGCAAGAGGTTATAGCAGAGGTCTTTAGCTTTTGTGGGATGATTTAGACTAGAAAATTGAGATTCTTAGTAGTCATGCTCAATGTATTCATTTTAAGGTCAAGAAAAATGATACAAATTGGTAGGGCACAACTGTGTATACAAGCCTAAATGTTGTTAACAAAAATCTTCTTTGGAATGAACTTAAGCGTATTAACATGAGTATTAATTATCCCTGGTTCATAGGAGGGGACTTTAATTGTACTTTGTCTAGCCATGAAATATTATCCTTATCTCGATATTCTACTACTGCTGATCATAATTTTTGCTTAGTGGTAGATGAATTGGAGTTAATTGATATGGAGTGTAAAGGGCCTTTGTTTACCTGGCATAGAGCTAGGTGTGAGAGTAAACTTGATCATGTGCTCATGAATGAGGAAGGTAGGTGTAAATTTCCTAATGTATCTGTTGTCAGTTTACCTTATTTCAAATCTAATCATAGGCCTATTATTCTTAAGTTGTATGAAGACATTATTTCATGTTCTTCACGGCCTAAACCATTTAGATTTGTCACTTCTTGAGTTCTTCATAATGAGTTTGATCAATTGGCACATGAGAATTGGAATAACCAAACTAGCTAGAATGAAAACATGTGTTCTTTTATTGAGGCTGTTGTGAAAGGAAAAGATGAAGCTTTTAGGCATCTCAAGAACAAGAAAAAGTTATTGATTTGTAGGCTAGAAGGCCTCTATAAAATGGACCAACTTTGTTTCAATGCACTCGTGATAATTGAGCTGCAATATAGACTTTGGCTTGAACTTGAGGAAATTCTTATGTAAGAAAGTCTCCTTTAGGTGCAAAAAGCTAAGTATGACTGGTTTGTTTTTAGTGATAAAAATACTAGATATTTTCATGCTAAAGCTAATGCTCGAAGAAGAGTGAATATAATTGAAGCTCTCAAGAAGGAGGATGGCAGTTAGGTTTATGATACTAAAGAGATTGCTCAGATTGCTAGAAGTTTCTTATCCAATCTTTTTAAGGATGATGGGGGACCTAGACATACTATTCAGTCCTTTCATTCCTTTTCGAAGGTTGGTAATGTTCAAATCACTCAATTATCTAGAATGTTTGATGCCGAGGAGATTCGTGGAGCTTTATTTGACATAAGATCATTGAAATCTCCTGGACTAGATGGGATGAATGCTCTTTTCTTCCAAAGCCAATGGAACTTAATTGGGCCTTCTATAATCTCTATAGTGCAAAGAAGTTTCAGAGATCCCTCTTTAATTAGAGATATTAATGGTACTTTTATTGTGCTTATTTTTAAGAAAGAGAACCCAAAAACTATTCATGATTTTAGACCTATAAGTTTGTGTAATGTAATCTACAAAATTATAACGAAGGTGATTTCTAATTGAATTAAAGGGATTTTACCTTCTATTATTGCCCCCAACCAGTGTAGTTTCATGCCTGGAAGGAAAAGTTCTAATAATATCATTGTTGCATAGGAGGTGATTCACTCAATGAGAAATATGAAAGGAAAGAAAGGTTTTATGGCCATTAAGATAGACCTTGAGAAGGCTTACGATTGTATTAAATGGGATTTTGTTTGGAATTATCTAGTTGGATTAAAACTTCCAATTAAATTGGTTGATGTTATCTCTAGATGCTTAGACACTTCTAGTTTACAAATTTTTTAGGATGGCTACAAGATGGAGGAATTCTTTCCTACTCGTGGGCTTCGACAAGGTGATCCTTTATCCCCCTATCTGTTTGTGATTTATATTGAGAATTTAGCTCATATGATATAGGATGAAATTCATAAGAGTGCTTGGCGACCAATTAGACTTTTAAAATTGGGACCTGCCTTCACAATTTTAATGATCTTGTGATTTTTTTTGAAGGCTTGTATTAATCAAGTAAAGTTATTAAGAACTGCCTTTCTCAGTTTTGTATGGTTTCAAATCAAAAAGTTAACCAAGCTAAGTCTCAAGTCCTTTATTTTGCTAATGTACCTCATCCTAGGAGGCATCAATTATTCAAACTGTTGGGTTCTCCAGTACAGTGGATCTTGAAAAATGTCTAAGGGTCCTTATGCATCATAAATATGTTACTAAAGCAACATATGGGTATATGATGGATAAGGTTAAGAGTAGATTGAATAATTGGAAGATTTCTAATCTTTCTTTGGCAGGTCAGAATACTTTAATCAAGTCTGTGCTATTTGCTATTCCCCAATATCCTATGCAAACAGCTTTGCTTCCTACTATAATTTATGATGAAGTGAAGAATCTTGCTAGATCTTTTCTTTAAGGCTCTTCCCAAGAGAAAAGAAAGATTCACCTAATGGCTTAGGATAAGGTTTGTCGGAATAAGGATAATGGTGGTTTGGGGATTAAATCTCTCACCGCTCAAAATCAGGCCTTCTTGATAAAGAAAGGGTAGGAGCTTATCCACAAAAAGGATTCTCTTTGGACTAGAGTTGTATGTGCCAAGTACAAATATGGGGATAACTTATTACTAAAAATTGAAAGGAACAAACTTGGGTCCAAAATTTAGAGTGGTATTAAGAAGACTTGGGACTTATTAGAAATGAGCCTACAACAATTTACACTTCCTAATAGGTAAATCTCTGTCTGTTGGAGACCAAAAAAATAATAGGCACTTCACTATCAAGTCAACCTATGAGTTATGTTGTGATGATGACATTACTCCTTCGCAGGTGTATAGGAAGCTATTGAAATTGAAGATTCCATTTTGGTGTAAATCCTTTTTGTGGCTGGTTGTACAAGATAGATTGTTGACAAATGAAGTGCGAAGTAATCAAGGTATGTGTGATGATGCTAAGTGCTTTAGATGTGATTATGATTGTGAAGATATTTTACATGTTTTTTAGGACTGTGCCTTCTTAAAAGAAATCTGGCTTAGGAATGTTCGTCCTGAACATATTGAAGAACCTTTTACCTTAAATGCATCGAACTGGTTTAAATGGAACCTGTGCTCTAATGTGGGTAGAAATGGTGAGGATTGGACTGAATAGTTCTCTATTGTTTGCTAGCTTTTGTGGAAGAGACGAAATGAATTTGTTTTTTAAGGGAAGGATACGATCATTGTCAATATTGGGGCGTATGCTAGAGGTATTATTAGATGTATGAGCTTAAGTCACAATGAGCTTGGCTTGAATAATCTTGGCAGGCAAGGATTATCTCAGCATTCCCTTGTAGTAAATCGGGATGTTGACAGCTTTAGTATCTTTGTTGACGGTGCTTACTTGATTAGCACAGGAGCAATAGGGTGTGGAGGTAACACCGGGCAAACAGGTTACGGGTCAACCTGCAGGTTAGCCCGCATGGGCTGACATTTTTGCGAGTTAGGTTGGGCTAGCCTGTCAAATAAATCAGGTTAAAAAATTCAACCCAACTCATTTTCTAGTAGGCTAGCCAACCCACGGGCTGGCCCACAAAAATTTATCAAATTTTTTTAACAATTTAAAATTTATATAATATAAATATATATTTATTTCATATTTTAAAGCAAATTAACAATTAAAGAACTTGTACATAAATAAAATAAATATAGAATTCAATCAACAAATTCATTTTGCTAGATTTTTACTATCAATCATCTTCTCGTTTAGAAGTGTTATCTTTCTCAATGAAAAAAATTTAAATATAAACCCATATTATTTTTCTCAATGAATTTATATTTATGATTTCAATTAATAGATCTTATGAGATTAATAAACAATATATATTCAAAATATTTTTATGAAAACTAATAAATTATTGATTTACAAACTATAACAAAAATTTTATTTGCAAAAAAGATTTACACTATATTTTAAATGTAAAGAACATATTTGGGAGTCCTAAATTATATATTTGAGAAATATTATCATTATTGTAGATTTATAAAAAGATATAATGTGATTAAAAATAAAAAATTATTTTAAAAAAATATGCTAGCTTGCAGGCTAGCCCGTTTTAGCCTGCTAGTTTTGCGGTTGGGCTAGCCCAACCTGTTTTAAAAAATGGGCTAATTTGTTCAACCCAACCTATCAAATTTGTGGGTTACATGAGTTAGCCCGCGGGCTCAACTCGTTTGCCCAACTCTATGTGGAGGTTTAGTCAAAGATGGAAATGATGTTTTGACAGGTGGATTTCTTGTTAGATTTCATGAAGGTGATGCGCTTTTTGCTAAGTTATGGGCATGTCTTATGGGCTTAAAGTTTGCTTAGGATGAAGGAATTCGGGTTGGAACTTTGTTCTTTGATTGCTCAGATGCGGTTAACCTTCTCCAGGGAGGTGATATAAACTTTCATGAATATGCCCCAATTATACAAGAAGCACATGAGATGCTAAAAAGGGATTGGAGGATATGGGTTGATCTTATTGCTAGAGCTAATAACCATGATGCAGATGGATGTGTAAAGAAAGCACTGAATATTTCACAGAGATTTCATTATCTTCAAGCTGAAGACCTCTACAGGAATGTTCTCTTTGAGCCTCCTTAGTTTTCTGTCTTTCTTCTTTTTTTGCTTTGTGTTTGCTTTGTTTTGTTTTATTTTCTCTTTATAAAAAAAATTAATCTGATTTTGTAGTTTAAAAAGTTAGAAAAGTGATATGAAAATAAATAAATTACAATATTTTAAGTCTCCAAGATAATTTTACTTTCAGCCTCAAAACATTCTATCTTCGCCATAGCCACGACCCTCAAGGATGAAACTAAAATCCCAGGCCACTGCATTAAGAGATCTCTATGTCTTATTTCTTGCGTCATAACTAAGTCGGGGCTTCAGTGTTTTGTACAACTACGTTTTATATGGATCCCCTTTTTCTGCTTTATATTATTGTTTTCAAACGGTAGAGTTAGACCATTCAAGTTTAAATTTGGATAATTTAGGTGACTTTATTTTATTTTTTATCATGAATGTTTTTTTTTTGACAACTAACATTAATAGATTATTTTTACTTTGTATTCTATATTTTAAAATAAAAAATATTAAAATGTGAAAAATATTATCCAGTAAATCTGTACCGTCCATGAGGATCCTATAACATGCCAATGGGAAGCCTTAAGATTCAGGAGGAGGAATAATCAGCGTGTAGAGGCTATATCATGTAACCATGCTTTGCTGCTTTATGTATATGCTTTCATTTTCATTCCAGGAAAAATAATAATTAAAAGGAAAAACTTATATATTAGTGGACTAATTAAAAACCTGGACAATTTGATGCTTTCATAATTGAAGGGGTTTGATTACATAGATTTTTTTATTATTATTAATACTATTATTCATATTACAAGTGACAACCTTAATAGATTGGAAATGGATCTACGATATTATGAACCTGTGGTTCATTCTATTCCACTTTTGTTCTCTGATTTGGATTATGCTTACCAAGCCTTGGTCACGTTTCTTAATTAACAACGTAAACGGTGCTGTTAGTACTAAACACTAATATCAACAATCATTTACAATTGAAGTCAAGCAACGGCACATTTCGTGTCCTGTATACATTCAATATCTTCAAATTTATACGCCCCAAAACTTACATTATGAAGGGAATAGTTTCATTAACTCTACCGTCTGTGCAAAGGCATGCTCTTCTATGGCGTGATAAGTTATTATATTTGTAACTACAAACTCATTATAATCTGAAGTAAATATGTAACAATTCTAGTTTTGGTACTATTCAACAATTAAAAACGTTTTGCTAAAAAAGGAAAAAAAAAAAAGACAATTCACAAATGAAAAGGAAGTGAAAGATTTTAATTTACAGAACAAAGATCAAGGACTGTTTCAAGAAGATAACACTACAATTATCCCAACTAGAACTACTCTCATGTTAGGTATGAGGAGTGACCGCCCACAAGCCTGGAATATACAAAGCTTACATCTAATTTGTATCAGTCTTTAGTGAGTTGTTGCAAGTGTTGTCCATAACAAGGGCTGTTCCACAGGGCATGCTCCACTTGAACCTCTGCATATGTTTGATTGTTTTAGATAGGGACTAATATCATGTTTGGTATACAAAAAAATGTTTTCTAGAAAGGAAACAAAAGATGTGCATTTCTCATTTTCTTTCTAGGAAGCATTTTTCTACCTACTAAACATTGCATAAAAATTTCAAGTTTTCCCCGAGAAACAAACGAGATGCATCAATAAATTTTCAGTAAGCATACCTTGAATGGAAAACCTCTAATGGGTTTGTGTCTATATTTTTGGCAGGTCCACTGCTTTTATGACTATGTATTAATACGGGTGGCCTTGGAATGTGCGTCTTTCCTGAATTCATAACAGATTTTCTGCTTCCAAGTTGTAATGGTGTTGGCCTGTTGGCATTTAGCTTTGTGCCCTTGAAGACCCTCTCACTAGAAGCCTGCAATGGCTCATCCACCATCCCACCTGTTGTGATCATATTTAACAATGCAGAGGAATTCATTAAGCTAAGGTAACATTTATGTCATTAATATATAATGCAAATAAAATATTTTTGGGATTACTTACCTGTACTATCATCAATATCATCATTGAAATCTAATTGACTTATAATATCAGCCTCTTGATTGATTGGGGAAAATATGCTATCAAACATTGATGGCTGACCTATTTTTCCCCATTCTGCTTCACTCCATGTTAGTGCCTCCCACCACTTAGTTTCTCCTTTGATGATTTTCAAATTTTTGCTTGACAATTCCATCTTGGAAAAGCTCTGAAGTTTAGGGCAATCATAAATTCCAATATTTTCCAAACTTGGACCCATGTGTAATCCATTGGATATGCTGATCAGCTCAGGAAGATGGATAAGTATCATTGTTCTCAATTTTGAGAGAAAAGTTCCTGCTTTGAGTTTGGACGATCCACAAGATATTAAAGCACTTACTTTTGGACAACCTTTGACTGCAAGCACCTTTAAGAGTGAAAGATTGCTTATAAAATTCAAGGTGAAAATAGTTGATAACTTGGGGCAATTGTGCAATGTCAAGGACTTCAACATACCAAAACAGTGACTGGAATGAATTTCTCCTTCACAAATGCTTCTTAGATTCTTCATGTAGGATACGCTCAATAATAGCAAACGAGGAAATATATCCTCACTTCTTGAGTATCTTCCATCAACAATTGTTTGCATTTCTTTACACTCAGCCAATAAGCACACTTGTAATTGTATATTTGTCATGCCAAATACAGAAAGATCTTTGATGGTCAAGTGTCGATCTAGGAATAAAGCCTTGCTATATCTGACAACATCTTTTATTTCATGAGGGACATCAACACCTTTCACAAACATTAAGCTACACTCACTCTGTTTAAATTTTTCTTCAGCTGAGGGTAGCGCACCTGATATGATTCGTGACATATGTTGGCCAACAATGAATCTAAAATCAAGCTTAAAAATGTGAGCTGGCAAAAGATTCAGCAGTTTTGGTTCTGGAATGTATAAACTAATAGTTTCCAAGCAATGCAATGCCAAGATTTCTGGTAGAATAACTTGTACATTCTCTTGCCATCTCTCATCATTGGGGTTTACATCAATGCTTAAATGTTTTAACACCTGAAGTTTGGAAATCACCCCAAAAGGAACAATTGTTGAGCTAGTATATTGTTTGCTTTTCTTGCCACGATACTCATATAAACAAAGTGTCAAACTTTGGAGATTGGTCAACTCTTGGATCTCTGCTGGCAAATGTATGATTTGAGTCTTGTCAAGATCAAGCTTCTCAAGTTTCTTCAGTCTTCCAACCTCTGGAGGTAGTTTCTTGAAGCGCTCGCAACCTTTCATAGAAAGTTCTCTAAGTTATTCCAACTCAAAAAAGGAGCTTGGCAGTTCTTTTATACTGGTGTAGGATAAATCCAGGAAGAAAAGAATGGGCATTTTGAAGAAGAAAAGGGATGGGATTTTTGTCAAGTTGTCATTGTTGTGTAACATTAACACTTTGAGTTCAAGACAATTTGGGGTCAAGGGTAACTCAGATAGCTTATTGTCTGCTAAATCAATGTGTACAGAATTATGCCATAGCTCAGTATTTGGCGGTTCAACCAACCCTTTCCCAGATTTTTTCAAGAACAAAGGATTCTGATTGTTTAATGATTGCAAAATAGAATAGATGTCTTCTGGCATTTGGATATACCTTGAATTAGTGTCTTTAAATTGCAACAAGACAAAACAGTCCACTAGCTTTCTCAAGATAAGCTCTCCTTCCCCACCGGGCACCAGTTGGGAAGAAATCCAATCACTGTCAGATTCATTTTTGAGCTTCACCAGCAACCACTAATTGATTAGAAATCCAATCACTGATCAATTCATTTTCAATCTTCCCAAATTTGATACCAGGAATGAACAAACATGATGTAAGACAATGCTTTTGTGTCGTACTTAAATCATGCCAGATGAAGTTTATGAATGCATTAACCATCACCCTGCTCTGACCATGAAACACAGTTAAGCAATAGGAAGGATGAAGCAAATGCAATTTAACAACAGCATCTTCCCAACGTTTGACATCTTTCTCACTCCTTAGTGAATTTGCTACTATAGAAATGGCAAGAAGATTGCTACCACACTCTTCAACTATCTGAATTGCTATTGTTTGGATTGCATTAGGTGAACATAGAAGCTCATTGCTTACATTGCGACAGAAGACCTCCCATGGCAACAAGTGATCCTTTGTCTTGATATTCAGATCCATTGCTATATTAATTCATCATTAACTTGCTTTGGAGATTCAGAAGTAATTAACACCACAACTCCAGGAAGTTGTGTCTCTGGAAAACCCATTTTCCGTGGGTCCAAAGGCTCTTCATCAGCATCTCTATCCACCAGAAGCACTAAGTATCTCTTGCTTGACATCTCTTTTTCAATACTTGTTTTAAGCAAATCATCATTGCCTTCCATCATCGCAGGAAGCTGAAGGTGTTGAGCTATCTGTTGTCGAACATGGACCTCCGCTTGACTCTGGTAATTTGAGGCATCGATAAGTATGACTTGATTGAAGGTTTCATGAAGACGAAGCATAACTTCATTGTCTTTCAAGACTGATTCTACCTTTTCCATGACTAGTCTTTTCTCAGCTGCATCTCCAGTAGATAACAAGATATGATGTATGTCACGTGCATGATCATCCTCAGATAGTAAAGTTTGAACCAGTTGATCCACAGCAAGTTTCGCAGCAAGACTAAGAATGTCTTGAGGGATCCCATAATAGTAACCATATATGGAACTCCAACTCCAGCCTGTTTCTACGATCTCTAATATGTCTATTGGTAAAAGGCCTTGAAAGCATTTAAGGGGCTTTTGAGAAAGTAGGCGATTCAAATCTTGAAGTGAATGTTTCCTATTTGATGCTTCACGAATCCAAGCCTTGAGTTGGCTATCATGCACTTTTTTTACAGGATAATTCAACAGAAGCCTGATAAGATCTCTTATGTGGCTCAATTGCAGCAATAAATTCCTTCTCTCCTTGTCTTTAAACGTTGATGATTGTATCAGCGGTTGATCATACTCCTTCAATGCTCTGGACTCGTTGGAAAAATCAAGTGGTTTTCTTCTCCCAAATGGCTCTGCTTTTTCTTTTTGAATAAGATCCAGTGTCTCAGTTTTGCCAAATGGCTGAGCTACTTGGATTGGATATAAATCATGTGGCTCCTTTTTGGTGACAGCATGTGCTTTGCTACTACTAAACTTCATTTGTTCGTCTCTACCCTCCACAGTAAGTTGTCCAAATATGTAAAATGGCGTGCCCTTCATACCTATGCATGTGACGAGGGAAAACTAACGTTAGAGTTAGTTAAATAGAAGAACGTAGCTAATAAGTATTTGGAGGATAGATAGCGGAGGACAAAGCTCGTTATCGGTTTATCCAAATCTGTTGTTTGTAGGGTGTTTTGGGCATGTTTGGCTTCTCCTCCCATTCTTTTATTTTATTTTAAAAAAAGCTGTTTTCTAATATACTTAGAATTGTTTTTTTTTAAAAAAAATATAATCATTGATTCTTTTAATTTTATCAAATTTTGTTGTTAGTCTTTTTAATTTTTTTCAATGTTTTCAATTTTTATAAAAGTTAAAAACGCTGAAAATATTAAAATTATAAAGATTCAAATAATAAACATCACTCAATCTTATTGAAATTATATAACTAAAAATACTGGAAAAAATTATAGGAATAACTCAATAAAATTATTAAAACTAATGGTTATGTTTTTCTTTATATTAAAAAAAGGTAATAATAGTTTTAAAAACAATTAAATCCAAAACACTTATTTGTTTGATGAAGGTCTTTAAATAACAATGCCTTTAGCTCAACACCATCTCCATCATTAACTTACTCATGCAATTGAGGTTGTTTGTGTAACACCCTCAAATTTACAAACCGATTTTTCGCAAATTATTAATTTAACAACTCATTTTTTTTTCGTTGAACCCTTATCGTACCCTTATCATGGTAGAAAAATTTCTACCATGATACATCCAAGACAATATACCACAGGTCTTAAAATATTTCGAAAAGCAATTAGAACCATGAGGGACAGATATGATCCTCATAGCATGTTATTCAAATCAGGTCATAATTAAAAGGGACAGACATAATCCTCTTGAACATATAAATGCATTTATTAAAAAGGATTAGAGTTTACATGCTCCACAAAGAAGATATGTCCTAAGTTGGCACAAGATACATTGTATAATTCAAAATAAGAGGCAACGTAAAAGATGGTGTCTCATACACCATAATTACACCTCTGGTGCTTTATCGGCCGGACTCGCTCCTGTAAAAATATTAACCACGGGGAATGAGACTTAAAAGTCCCAGTAACCAAAAATTAATATGTAATGATGCATGCGGATGTAACTAATCATGCGATTGCTAGTGGGCACACAAAACATTTAACCGAACAATATTTTCAAACAAACCGAACGAGTATTTAATTGCATGACTGCACCTTATATCCTCCTTTCACCATGCTCGGACGCCAAATCACCCGGCCAAAGGTGAGTTGGACCAAGCGACACGCCACTCATTGGGTCCAATGAGGGCTTACCACGTGGTAATAATTAACCGAACAGAAATTCCCATTAACACCATACATTAAATACCCTGACAAGTCATGCATCATTCAAATATCCAAACAGAAATATATCCGAACAATAATATCTCATCATGATAAACAAAAATAAATCTTTTAACCCACTTGGCAATAATTTCAAACAAGTATATACAATATTTATTTTCAATAATTCATAATTTTTCAAACAATAAAACAACAAATAATCATTCATAAACACACCCATCACAACACATTAATAATGGTTACCTTGTGTCTTGAATAATAAGTTCCCCTTCACAACTCCTTTTTCACTACTATCTTTGTCAATATAATCTACATAATTATTTCACAATACTATATATTAATTTTATATTAAAATAAATAACTCTAATTTAAAGAGTTAGAAAGTCTTAGATCTATAGTCCATATTAACACTAATTTAAGATTTATGCCTCATTTAACTTCCCAAATTCTTTTCTAAAATTCTCATACCCTAATGAACTATTTTTTTTTATCCTCAATTCACTTCTAGTATCACAATTTCATCCTTCTATATTCTAAAAATTCATCCAAAAATAAATTAAAAATTTTAGAATTATCCTGAAGCCTCAAATCACCTTTCTAGAACCTCAAAAATACCTATTCATACTTAAATAAATATTTAATAATCATAGGTTTATCCCTACGTCTCAGATTCCACATAAATTTAATCATATAGATCTAGATTTTAACTCAAAAATTCTTAAACATGAGTTTCAACCTCAAAAAAAAAATATTCTATAATATTTATTATATCCCTAAGAGTTTTAACCTATATTTTTACTCCATCATGTCATCAGATTAACTATCCTATAGAAAAATCCTAATCAGAATATTTACTCTATCCTACAAAATAATCATATCACTAGAAAGCTAATATTATTTAGAAAATAACTATAAAATTAATTTTGTAATTAAATAAATTTTTAAATGCTAATCTAAACAGGAAAGTTAGAACATATCTGAAGAAAAAGAAAATAATCCCCCCTTGTAAGAAAAACGCCGAGCAATGTGAGAGGAAGAGAGAAAAATAATATAAAAATGGGATTGTGGTCCCAAAATTATATTTAAAAAAATTATAGGTTCGAATTTAATTATTCAAACCTTTGGGCCAAAAGTTGCAATTTCTTCTAAATTGTATCTTAGCCTCTCATGCTTCCTAATGCACACACCCCCTCCTTTTTATACATAAAGGCACCTCTTCTCTTCCCTCATCTAACCAATGTGGGACTTAAAAACAACAACCTTCCACCCTCCTTTTTTTTTGTTCCTTCTACCTTCTCTTTTTTTTAACACACAATAAAAAATTATTTATGTATTATATCTTAACTAAATATTGCTTATGTGATTTTAAATTTAAATTTTTAAATTTATAATTAAATACCTAACCATAATATCATTTCTAAATAACCTCAAATAATATAAATTCCTATTATTATTATTTTTTTTCTCAAAACCTAAATTCCACAATTTCTTTATTATATAAAAATCAGGATGTTACAGTTTGTATATAACATATATTTATTATATCATTATTGAATAATCATATAGTAACTATCATATTTTGACTAAAAACTTGACCACAAAATGGAATTGAATACAATATTTTTATATTATTTTTTTTAAATCAATACACTGTAATGCAAGAAACCTGCCGCCCGCTGGCGGACAAATACATACAATTGGATTTTTGTTCTAATTAAACTATACTAGTGGAGATTTTGTTAGTATTTCTTATCACAAGAGAACCACAAGAGCAACGTACATAATACTCGTGATTGTAAAAGCTGTATAATTATATTATATATAAATTATTTATATAAATATTCACCAAAAAAATTATTTATACAAATATATTTTTAAATAAATTTAAATCTTCTGTTTCGTTTTCAACCACGTGTATAATACTTATACAATAAATTATTATATTTAAAAAATAATTTAAGTATAGTACTAAATATTTTTTCAATGGCTTACAAGGTATCCCTCTATTGATGGCAAGATAGCATTAAATATGAGTATTTTTTTCTAGATGAGATTCAAATCTTGATTATATTGTAAGGTACATACTAGCTTTTTCATTAGATTCAGCCTTTATTATATTATAAACACAGTTTCCATAAACATGAAGCGATTTTTCTGCCAATAAAAAAACCGAATGGAATGGTGGATACTCTTAAAAGATATGATGCTATAATAAAAGGATTAAAGATAATCAATATTGCATCCAATCTAGATTTAAACCAAATTTCGTAACTAATTTGCTAAGCACAGAATTGAAAAAGAAAAGCTACGAATTATAGAATTGTAAGAATCCTTCTAATAGCACTCCATCCGTAATTAATAAGATTAGAAACAAAGTTGAATAATAGATTAATTGGTACTTCTAACAAATCAGCTATTTGTACTTCTAAATCATTAATATGTAAGAAATTTGACCCAAAGAAAAAAAAAAAGCATATGTAAGAAGTTGGCAAGACTGAACAGATCAATGAAAAGAATGAATCGTAGTACGTACCCAACGGTGCTTCCTCACCCAACTCAAAAACCTTAATGGCCTCAGATAATAATGTTGTTTAATGGATAACGCCTTCATCTTATCCTTTTATTTTTGGCGCCATATCGACTTTGACTTGTTAGTTAACCAACTACCATTCTTCTTTCCGCTTGAATAGTAAAATACCAAATAGTCAGCCAGTATTTTTCGGTGCATCCCTCTTTTTTTTTTTAAAAAAAAAAAGCTCAAAAATTTCTCGTCTGACTTATTTATGAGGTTATATAATTAATGAGATGTCGGTAAATTTTCTGGAGTTTAACTTTAAAGAATTAAGTACTTAAACTTATGTTCTTATTTCTAATTAGATCAAAACAAATGGATTATAAATTTAAAAATAAGTTAAAAGTATTAATAACAAATTAACAAGAGTTAAAATAATATAAATGATAGAATAAATGAATAAATTACCCACTGAACCTTAAGTTCAATAGAATTATAGACTTTGAATTTATTTATTGTGTAAATTATTTCTTCAACTTTTAAAAAAAATGCAACATGGGCTTTGCCATTGACAAAAGTTATTTTGAACTTTAGTTGAATATAAAATAATAGAAATACCACGTAATCATTCATGTCCTAATAATTGGGCAAGATAATAGTGACCTATTTCTTTTTTCTCTTTTATGAATATATTGTTTTTTTTGTCCCGGTCAGCTTATGAATATATTGTTATACTTTAGTGTTTATCATCTTTCAGGTGAAAATCATGGGGAGATGTAGTAAGCCATCCAGCTCTACGCAACTCAAATCTATACTATTTTTTAAAATTAATTTTTCTTTATGTGAATTATTGCAATTATGTATTTGATTGTGAATATTTTGATTTGCATTTGATTAGGACATGCTCCCAATTTAAGGTAGAACATTTTTTTTTAGTCTAATCATTGATATCTTCTCAAGTCTTATGGTATTATGCTAACAGTAGGCGTAATGGTAGCAATTTAAGCCAGTTGGTTTGCATTTGCGGGTTGTTGACCTTTCAATCCACCTCAAATTATAAGACAATCTTGAAGGTATTTTATTATCTCAAAATATAAAATAATTTGATAAAAATAAAGTTTCATTAATAATACTTTTTTAATATTACCTTTTAAATAGAAAAAGAGAGTTGAAATGATATTGTAGTGGAATGATTAAGTGTGTAGGGGCATTTTGAAAAGTTTATAGTTTTATTTTAAAAAAGTAAATTTGTAAAGTATTATTATTGAGCTTTATTAACATGTATAATTTTGTCTCAAATTATTTTATAATTTAGGATAGATGTGGAGTAATACAATAAAAAAAGGTACCCCCAAGTGGAAAAATATAGGGTCTAAAGTGCATATCTGATTATATTGGTAATGTAATATTCTAGTTTTTATAGGAGTTTAATTATGTGAAACATGAATTTTGAGGATTTTACCTTGGGATTTATGTATTTTGTTGAGGTTGAATTGAGGGAATTAAATTTGGGATAGTGATAATTGAGGTTTGATTGAGTAAACAAAATTAAGTTTAAGGAGGTTTAATGGTAGTTTAGGCACTTAAATTTAGGCTAAAATGGACCTAGAAACACGTATAAAGGTTAAATAGATTCAAAATACAGATGCTAGGTTGAGTTGGGCCCACCTGATGGGTTTTAATGAAGTGCCCCATTTTTGTACCGTGCATCGTGACTCATGGTACATCTGTTGTGGTATAAAAATTTGAATATTAGATTTGTCTTCATGACATACCCAAAAGTAAAGGTTTTGAGGTAGTTGTGGACGATTTTTTTGGGAGCACGGCTAAGATCTTGAAGTCTCCAACCTTAAGGCACGTTTTTTGGATCCAAATCTTTAAAGTAAGTTTGTTTAATCTTTATGCTAGCCTCCAATCCCTTCTCTTCAAGGACTTAAATAGCTTTGGGTGTTAGGGTTTCATTTTCAGAAATACCCACTTTATAAATCTGAATTTTAAGTGTTGTTTGAGGTTAAATAAATGTTGTTTAAATAGTTTGGTGTTGTTTATGGTCAAAGGATGATTCAATTTGAAACCTTAAGTTTGAAATTGACATATTAGTGATGTTGAATTATAAGATGTTAAATCTATACAAGAGGAGTATAATGAGAATTGTTGGGACTAAGTTTAATCATATAAGTGTATGGGAAGTGCTAGGATTAATGAAATTAATTAACCTAATCCTAAGATTAGTGTTTGAGTGTTATGATTAGCCCTAATTAGAATTTATTAATGTAAAATTTGCATTATTATATTGTGTAGATTGTGGTGTTGACACTGTGGTGAATGGCTATTTGCATATTCAGGGAACTTCGCATATAAGGAAGGAAGGTAACTATTCTAACTTGTTTTTGGTGTATGACTTGTAACTGATGGTGTGAAATTTTGATATGAATATTTGTCTTATGAAAATATGCATTTGAAAATAAATATATGTGTTTTGGAAAATTGTGTTGTCAAGTGAGGCTATGATATGATAACTTGTGTTTTCAACTAAGTTATTGCACTTATAAGCATGATAAAAATGTGTTTTGATTAAATGTGGAAAGCAATGTGTTTTGGATCACATAGTTAGTGTGTAAGGTTAGGAGCTATGTGTGTTGGTTCTTATCGCATGGTGCGTGGTATATCCTTATTTAACCCAATGGATGGCATGTGTGGCTTGTACTAACTTATCTCTAGCCAGGTGAGCTAGAGTATCCAGCATGATGTAAGGTGGAAATATGGTATTGTCATGCATAATTGTGTGCAAATTGAAATATTGGTGTGTGTTCAAATTTGTTTATTTGCCTACTTAGCAATTCACATGATTATTTGCATGTTCATGCATCATGACATTTTAATTTGGTTACCGGGGGCCCTCATGTCTCATTTCCTGTGATTAACTATTTTTTTCAAGGAAGAGCTTAACTGGAGAAGAATCCAAGCAATAGTTTTAGTGTATGGAACACCTTTTATTGTTAAAGCCTCGTTTTAGCATGTAATATGTACATTTGCTAACCTAAGGCATTTTATTTTGTAAAGTGAGCATGTGACTCCTCTTTTGGCTTAACAATTAACTATGATAACCATGAGAATGTCTTTTTGACTCTCATGGCGGTGACGTTTAATACATTTTGGAACATCAAATGATTATATGATGAGTTGTGTTGCTTTATGTTTTACAACTATTATTGTTCATTTTAAGCTGTGTTGAGTGGCTGCGATGCATCTATAAATATTATAGGTACTAGCATAAAATTTGAGGTGTGTATCTATTGTTCCATATGTGTGTGATGTGTTCAAAAGTCCTACACATTAGTTAATGGTTTTGGTGTCAATTTGGAAGTTTTAGAAACTTTGACAGCGTGTTTTGAAACTAATAGATGTTTTAGTGGATAAAATATTTGCATGGTGAAATTTGTTGACAAACCAACTTTAACAAGTTTTACCATGGTAAAAAAAATTTTCTTAAATATATAAAACAATTTCTACACCAAATACTGTGGCAGGAAAAAGTCTATCATGATAAAAAAAAAGTTTTACTTAGATCCCATTTCAAAAAGAAGATTTGAAATCCAAGTTATTGTAGCATTTTCCCACAATTATAAAATCAAAGATCCTAGGGCAAATAATACAAAACATTTTTATCTTTTTCAAAAATATTCAAACCTAGCGATTCTAGTGTCCATCCAACTATAAACAATAAAAACTCATTCATTAGCTTTGGTTTGATACACAAATAGTTTTAATAGAAAACTTATTCTTTAAAACCTATTAAGGGTCTAGACATCTTTTCTCAAATAAATAACTTCATAACTTACAAACCAAAGTCAAAATTTAGGGTAAACAACTTGACCACAACTCATTTATCTCAAAACATAATATACAACTTCTAAAAATTAACAATACAAGTTAAAATTTACAATTGAGTTACAGTCACCTAATATAACTTATATAGAGAAGTAGTAAAATCTCATCTCATCTCTAAAATACAATTTCAATACTTTAAGTCAAATCAAAATTAGATCATAAGTGTCAAACACAATTCTTATGACCAATATATATAAAGTATATAAAAATCTAAATAGTTTATGTTTTATATTAACATGTATCTTCAAATAAATAAATACGGTGTGTAAGTTAAGGATGTTTCACGTGACATCTGTCGGCCAACGATGAATCTAAAATCAATCTTGAAATAGCGGGCTGGCTGCATAAGATTAAGTTTTTGGTTCCTTAAGGTGCTAACTAAAGCCGCGTTTGGTACATTGGAGATTGACTTGAGAGAAACCAAAATGAAATTGGAATCAAGCTTTGAATAGTTTGGTATATGTATCAATTCAATTTTTTTTTATGAAATTCAATTCTATTAAAATATCTAAAATTTAATAAATATCATGGTAAAATTGGGAAATTGCTATCAGTCAACCCTTCATTATCGTCGCCATTATTGGGCCACCTTCCTCCTGCTGTCACGACCACCACCACTTTCCTCCCGCCGTTCACAATCATTCTTGATTATTACTTGTTTTTCTTTGGCTCTCGTGCACCTGCGAAGCTTCGTAGAGGAGCATTATGGGGCGAAATATGAAAGCAACTTCATATACTATTATAAATTTTATGATTTACTCCCTCCAATTAAAAATATATTTTGAAAAAATTTACATATCAATAAAATCCTCATTCTTATAAAAAAATATATATTAATTTTTTTTTACCCTCAATCACAATTATATAAAGATATGTATTTACACATACATTTAAGGTAATAAATACAAAGGGTAAAATGAATTTTTTTTATATAAGAAAAATGTTTATATTTCGGATCGGAGGAAATATTGAGTTGTGGGGCAATTTTTTGAATTAAAGAGAATCTTCTCTTTCAAAAAAAAAAAATCCTTATCTTTTGTTAAAAAAGTCACCCGATTTTAGACTGATATATGTTCTCAAATATTAAATGATTTATTTAACCAACCAATATAAATTTCGCAAATATATGTCGGTCTTATATATAACTAATCCAATTTTTTTTTAATAATAGTGACTATTCTTAGTTTTGATTTTTCTAATCCTTTATCCATCAGTTGTTGGAACTTCACGTCATGATTAATTATAGGAGGGAAAATGTGATATGCACCGACGCAATGAATTCGTCTGAAGCACATCAAATTAAAGAACCGTAACCTATCAGGTTTACTTGCCGGTTCGAATAAACTTATGTAACATGAAATTACACGAAAGACTATATCTTACTTCCAGAAATGGGCCGACTTTTTGGGAAAATTAATGTCTTGTTTTGACTAAATGGGAAATTTGACTACTAATGATAGTATCACGCGCAAAGAAAGATAAGTAATGATATAAAGTAAAAATAAATTATCATCACTTTCTAGAATCTTTGAAAACAATTAAATAAATACTCTTTTATTTTTATTTATAAATTATTTTTAATATATTTTATTGAAGTTAAGAAAAATTTTAAAACTTATTAACTATATATATATATAAATTTAATAAATTTTTAATTTTCTCTTTTTAATATTTAATAGAGGTCAAATAAAAAAATTTATAATAAAAATTTAATGATATAATTTATAAAAAAGATAAAAAAATTTTATCCTATAAATAAAATTGATTGGAGTATATAGCAAAAATTAAATACAATTGTAATCAGTGATGATAAAAGTATTAAAGTGGAAAACTCTCAATACAAAGATCAATTTTAAGTTACAAATTAGGCATTCTTAATTTATTCTATCATTAATTATTGTTTCGGTCCTTGATCTCTATATATAGAAGCTAAATGAGTGAACCCGAACCATATCGCCATGTGATACTTCATTTTTTGCTTGCTCGTTCTTGTGCCCCCTTCTTTTCCTCCATTACAGAATCAATAAGCTTCCTTTCTAGCTCTTAGACGCTTGGAACAACCTAGGTATTATTTTTCTCTTTTAAATCACTCTCTAGAAATAATAGTCTCACTGTCAGTACTTTTCTTGTGAAAATATGTTGGTAAAGGAAAAACTATATATGAACAACTAATTAACGTGATAATTCAAACAGAGCCAATACTAGAAAAGATGCATGATTGAACTCTTGGCAACGTTTCCATTTTATCTTAGCATGAATAACTGATCTATAGGATTTTGTCTCTCGTTTGTTTCATTTAACCAATACTCTTGGGGTATAGTCGCTAGATGCCTCTCTTTTGGTCAACGTTGGCTGCAATCTCGCCATTCCTCTTCCATCGAGCAATTCTCATCACTGTTTGCTGCAATCCAGTAGTTCAAGTTCTACTTTGTGTTCGATGGAAAAGGGTTCAGAGAGTTTATCACGGGATGAATTGATAGGGTTTATAGTTGACGACTCTTTTGATGGGGAAAAAAGTTTTCTACCGTTTGACCTCTCCAAAGAGGTAATCTCTTTTAATTGAAAGATTTTAATAGCACCTCATCCAAACGATGCTTCGCTTGTGTCTTCAAACTTTGTCACGGTGGAGCATTGAAAAAAAAAAAGTCCACTCATTTGATTTGAATGAGGAGTCAATCGATGATGGTGAAGGAGTAGTAACAATAGCAGCACGGTTCTGTGGTTTGGGAGGAGTATCTAAGTCCAAAAAAAAAATGTTGATGCCTAACTCCATTTGTTCATTTACTTCATTGTCCCCATTGTCTTTCCTCATTCTCCCACATGGCTAAAGAATTTAAATTAAAAGAGAAGCACCATTTTTTCGTGGGGGAAGACCCACTCGTGGTCTCTTCTTGTTTCTTTGTTTTGCTTTTCTATGTCTGCAATGTGACTCCCTTTTAAGGGTTGGAACTTTCACTCTTCTATGCCCCACCGAATCAAAAAAGTTCCCATTCATTTAGCTCTTTCATCCATCATTGTGATTTGCTTTTCTATGTCTACAAAGTAAGGGAGAGAGATAAAAAAAAAATATCATATGGTTTGCTCATGTTTTGTTTTGTTTTGTTTTTTTAAACTTGAGAGTTATGTTTGAAATTTCACTTATATTTATCTCTTGTGTTTTTGTTGTATTGATAGTAATAGGGTTGGTAGAAATAACTTATACATTAAAGTATTATATGGTTTGATCATGTTTGTATTTTTAGTTGAGGATTACATTTGGAATTTTATTTACTTTTATTCTTTATATTTTTGTTGTATAATATTGATGATGTTGGTAGAAGATGACTTATAAATAAGACTAGGAGGAATATTTTGTAATTCAGTAAAAAGAAAAAATTGTTTCGTTATTATTTTCTTTAGTCGGCGTTAACATTTCTTGAACTATTTTTCTCCAGGCTTTTAAGTTTCTCAATGGGTCATGATACTAAGAGCAGCGCTGATAATCAAATTCAACTTTGGGCACCTTCTTTGGGAGAGGTGGTGCGTTTTTCTCTTGAGAAAACAACGTCCTACGTTAGCAACATATATGCATCATCTAGCCATATGGAAGAGGTACACAAACAGCTAAACGATGAACTGGAGTGCCTAAATACTCTAAAAAGTGACTGTGACGGCCAAGTATTAGCAGCTTGGAATAAGCGTACAACTAATGAGTACAACTTGTGGACGAAGAAAGTGGAAGAACTGAACGATCAAGTGGCTGACCTGAACAAGTAATATGACAGGTTAGATACCGTGGAGAAATGGCGTTATTGGAAGCGATCTAGTCTCAGTGCAAATATGGAAATAAAGTTTAAGGTAGTTCGAAGGCTTATAAAACGACGCCCACAAAATTTTCTAGTTGACAGTACTGATGACCATGATCCATCTTATTATATTTAATACTCTTTTTAATATTTGATCATAAATCAATTGCGTGAACTTTTGTTCTAGTAATAAAATATGAAAGGATCAACGGATAGGGTTCTATGTTAATTTTTTTTTTATTTAGTGAAAATGAAATCCATTCTAAAAAGAAGACGGCATCAACGAACGATGTCAGGTTAATTAATTGGTCTCGAATCTCGATCGAGCTTGGGTTCTGGGTACACAATTGCGTTGGATGCTTGTTAAAAGCATTTATTTTGGTTAAAAAACATTGACCTCGTAAAAAAGTTGCAGTCTGTATGCTATAAATTGAAATACAAGTTACGAGGTTATTGATCTTAAGAAAGAGTAAATTATACTCCCTTCATCTCAAATTATAAAATATTTTTATATAAAATTTTATACATTAATAAATTTCATTAAATACACTTAATAACCTTATCTTTTAAAAATATAAATATAAACTTTTCAAAATATTCATCATTTAATATAATGAAAAGAGAAGTGATGGAAATTAATTATAGAAAGAAAAAGGATAATATTGAAATTGGAGTATTTAATAAAATTTTAATCTACTCAAAGTGTCTTATAATTTGAGATGGAGAAACTTTTTAAAAAGTATCTTATAATTTGGAATGGAAGGAGTACTACGTACTATTATATTATATTTAATAAAAAACAAAGTTAATAAATTTTGTGTTTATTAAGAGATGTTAGTTATAATTTTAAAATTGTAAAAAAATTCAAAAGTTCCAATTTTACCATATTTGTAATTAATAATCATAATAAATTATTGTTTATAAATTTAAGTAATAATAAATAAACAAAGAGTAAAATTGAAAAAAAAAATTAATTACTCAAACTTCATTTTATATTTAGAATAAAAAAAATTTTAAACTTCATCTTATATTAAAGAAAAGAGAGAGTATTCGGTAAAAACAAAAAAATAAAATAAAGGACTTAGGTGACTTTGAATCTTATCCTTCTCCATCTACAATGCTATACATTTCATTACACTAATAAAAAATACATAATTCTGAAGAAAGTTCCATGAAAAGCTCACAATCTTTTAAATAAAACTTTATAAGCCCTTGTATTTCTTTTTAAAAAAAACTTGAAAAATCATATATGCAAATTCGTAGCAAGACAAAAATGCACAACTGAAGCATGCAGGCGACGAAAAATAAGGGCGGTGGTATTTCGGTCAAATCAAGATTACCTCCTAATAATAAATTCTTCAACTTGTGAAAATTTAGAAAAAAAATATAAAAGATGAATAATTAAGTTCCATCAAGATCAAGCTTCACAATACAAAGAAGTTATGCCTTTTTTTTGGGGGGGGGGGTCAATTGCTTGAATTGGTTACATGTATTCAAAGACAATAAGTAAAACTCGCTAAACTACTTTTTCCCCAACAACCACCACAACAACAACAACAATTTATCTATCAAGAACTCCATTTAAATTGCAAGGAGAAAAAAAAACTTATCTTTGACTAAAGGAGTTGAGAAAATATGATCCCTAATCCATGGAAACTTACCACATACAAGATAAATTATTAATATCAACAACTATTTACAATGGAAGTCAAGTATTGGCGGGCAGATTACCAGAACCACCTTCACTATCTTCATTAAATATATACCTCCAAGCTAAATCGTTATTAAAAAAAAATTGATTCTTTTTTTTAATTTTCTGTTTGAATTATTGCAGAAAGTGTTTAACCCACTCTACAATCTGCAGCCAGCACAAAGTATTCCCTCGTTGCTTTGCTGAGACAAGTTATGTTTCTAACTACATGTTCGTCAGAATATAAAGCGAACTGAAGCAATGCGAAACTCGTTATTGCTACACCGTGCAAAAAGGAAAAGCCAGTGACAATTTTAATTTGAAGGACAAAGCTCAAGTTGTTTATCAAGAAAATGAAGCTGCAGACTTACAGACCAAAAACAAACCCACCTCATTCTGAAATTGTGATGCAGGATTAAAATTGATTTTAAAAAAAAAAACAAAGAAAATGAAGAATTCCAGCCACTAAAAAAGCACATCTCACTAAAACTCAATTCAGAACACAGGGCGTCTATAGAAGTTAAGGAATCTCATCCAGCGTTGCACTCTAAATTCATTGGTGAAAGTGGTAATAAGAACGTTGGATTGTCATGTTTAGTTGAGAGGTGATCTGAAAGCTAGGCTCAGAACAAGTGCGACTGCCACAATAGGCGATCCTGTAAAAGGCAAGGCCGCTCTTGGATTCTCTGCACATGTTTCATAGCTTGACAGATCTAATCATATTCATGACTACGTCTGAAATAGTTTCTGCGTATAGGCCAAGTGTAGCATGAGCCAAAAGTGAAGTATATAGTTTAACCCCAAAAAAATTGTCGGAAAATTAAGATTGATGGTACCTTGGAAATTTGGCTCCAGGAATGGCTTCCTGGCCATATTTCCTCTAATTATATCCTTCTTCAAAAGACCCAGATTCCTTCGTCCATGCAGTCACAGTCTCTCTGTAATTTAAGAATTGCCATTAGAAAATGCAACTTTTTTGATTTGAGCCTACGAGTTGACGTAAAAGGCAAACAGTTAGGCATATATATACTATATACATCCTCTTACAAGTCTCTCCTGTCCTTGAAGACGTTGTCACTGAAAGGCTGAAATGGCTCGACCATTATCCCATCTGCTGTGATAGTATTTAACAACGACAGTGAATTTAAGATAATTGCATGTCATTTTAATATAAATTCAACGTGTTTAAGTAAGTAAATGTGGTTTAGCATGCAAAATAGCAGTAAAAACCAATAAATTTAAAATCAAATATTGGTAAATATACCTAGAAGTCATTGATATCATTCTCTATAACTCTCTCTTACCATTAATATTTTTACTTATCAAATTTAACAAGGTAAAGGAATAAAGGGTTTAGGACATTCAAACTGAAATCAAAACCAAAAATAAAAAAAAGATACAGTACTACCTGGATTGTCGTCAATATCATCATCTATCCCGAAATACCCCGAGTTGAGTCAACCTGATTATTCATGGAGGACTCTGTTACGCTAGAGGCCTGTGTGCCAGTGTGACAATAGCCGGTTTTATTGTGGTTGTGAATGCCTTCAAAGGTTGTCATAACATAACTTGAATCATCCCTATCTCTCTCAATGCTCTTTCTCACCGGGCATCCATTCACCAAACACTTATAGTAATTCCTGTAATCAATCAAATTTTATAATAAGCATAAACATGTTCTAGGCTGGCTATATGGCAGTTTCCATTTATGCACATATCTAAAACAAAGTGAGAAGGAATTAAAGCTTTGTGAAGCATTCATCTTTCCTGCCAATGATCATCTTCATGTTTCTTGTTATTAATCTTCTTACAGCTTTCTTTGATAGCTATAGGTCCCGTTTTCTTCTACTCCTTAAGATTTCAGATTTCTGGGAATTGTCTTTCTCATAGTAACTATCATATATTCCAATACATCAAATTTTAATGATTTTACTCCCATATTTGTTTAACCATATCCATAAGAATAATCTGTTTAATGGTAATTCGCATTCTTTAAAAAAATTAGAAATCCAACTAGATTTATGACCTTATACATGCCAGTCCTTATCCACACATATCTGTTACTTTATTGCTCCCATCTCATGAAAATATATCTATAATCATCTTAGTTCATTTTATCTTCTGTCACCCAACTCCATTCTATTATTATCAATTCTAACAACAAAAGATGGGCTCTCTCACATATATGTACGAGTGCAAGTGTGTGTCCCCAGTAACAGAGCATGTACAACGAACCTCACATGTTGAAAACTCTTAAGGCCATATCATTAAGCGTTTGTAACACTATGTCACTCACAAATAGTTAACAAATAAATAGCATCACAGGCATATATATGTTTACCTGGGGTAGGGGCTCTTCTTCAAAGTCTTGATGCCATGCTATATCCACTTGTACCCATCGTTCATCATTTCTACCTCTGACTTTGTCAAGAGTATAGTTCTTTGTTTAATGCCCTTCCTCTCCTTACTACTGATTATGTCTCCTAAAACACATGACAAGATAGTATGAGCGCTCAGAGTTAAAATAGAAAAAGGTTGAGGAAAGCTTCACTAGCTCACACTGAAATAACAACCTAATTTAAAATTAGAAATTCAAGATAACTATAGAATTACCTAGATCATTGTCGAAGTCATCATCATCTACCCAGATTGAGTCATTGAGTCAAGCTGATTATTCATGGAGGAATTTGTTCGATTTGAAGGCCTGTGTGCAAGTGAGAAATCCCTGGTAAATGATTTCGACAATAGTTGGGTCTTCTTCAGATATCTGCACTCACTTTTTGGCATAACAACCTCCTTGAACAAATTTGAAATGGCTTCTGCACGTTGACAGCGTACATTATTAGCCAAATGATGCACATTGAAATAATTTTCTCTTTTCTCTTCTTTTTTGGGGTAATTGAAGTAGTGCTACCTTGGATTTAGTACATCCTCTGTTTTCTGGTGATATTTCCTCCACTTTTACCCATCATCTAAAATATCTTCACCTTCAGATATTTCCTCTGACACTGAAAAGATCACTCTGTGATACAATAATACATGTTAGCCAGAAAGATACACCACGTTTTTGTATAAGCCTCTGAATAGAGGCACATAAAATTCAGTTATCCATATAGACACACACACACCTGATTATTTCGGTGTTTTGCCTCGGGTGCTCAAATAAAGACAGCAATGACGTCATATCTGCTGTGATAGATTTTAACAAGGTAAGGGAATCAAGGGATAAAGGTGTACTGTCAGTTTATTGATGAAAGTAAAAGAAGTTGTGACATTCAGTATTCACACTGGGAAAAATTAAATTAACATGCATGCATGCATGTAGAATTACCTGGATCATCGTCAATATCATCTTCATCCATCCCAAATTGCAGTGCAGGAAAGTGTTCCCGTCTCGTCGCTTACGCGACGCTGAGCCTTCCATTTGCGGAGCAGCCGTTGGAAGAACATCCGTGTTCTTAGGATGCACATGGCCCAGAACCCCTTGATGATGCATGACGAGATCAACGAGAGCAGTTT